TCTTCTATTCTCTTTCCTTTTTCTAGGACTCAAGTTATTTGTATGTTAGACTATTTTAAATTGTACTATAGTTCTTAAATGCTCTTTTTTGTTGTTATTTTCACTTTTAGTTTTATTTTGGATAATTTCTACTCTTTTTCCCCCCACCTACGACTGGGGTGAAGGAGGCTAATTGCTATTTACTTTTTCTCAAATTCACAGATTTTTTAAATTGTTATATTCAGTCCACTATTAACTTTTGAATGAAGTTATTTCTGATACAGCACTGTTTTATTTCCAGCATTTGTTTCAGTCTTTTTTAGTTTACATTTCTGTGCTAAATTTCTCATCTGTGTATGCCTGTTCACCTTTTCCACTAGATTTTTTTTTTTTTTTTTACATATTTGTTATTGGTATTTCAAAGTTTTTGTCTGACAAACCCATCATCTTGTCCATGAGTCTCGTTGCATTAACTTCCTTTACGGGTTAAATTTTCCTGATTCTCTGCATTTCCAGTATTTTAAATTATTTACCAGAAATTGTATGTTGAAGAATAGTAGATACTGATAAGGACTAAGTATTTACTCCTTATAAGGGCATGCCCCTTCCTCTGTAAGGATGGCAGTGTGGAGGTCTGAGTCCATTTAATCCGCATCAGAGCTGGGTCTGGACGTTGTTGCAACTTTAGATAGAGTCACTTCAGCGTTGGCTTTAGTGCCTTCGAGACTTTGAGTCAGGCATTGACAAGACTTTCAGATATCTGGCTATGCTTTAAAGCCATACTGCTAGTTTTCTGGGCTGCTGAGGGATTTCTTTGCCTTCTTGTTTTGCTCCTGGTGCTCTGCAAGACAGGAAGGAAGGCTGCAAAGCGTGGCCTTAGATGTTGGAATGTGACTTGTGCGTTCTTTGTCCTAGGTATTCCTGGAGTGGAGAGCCACTCTTTCTGACCTGTCCTACATCCAAAGTCACCGAGCTCCCAGCCTGCAGCCACTGTGGAGGCCAGAGGACATTTGAGTTTCAGCTTATGCCAGCATTGGTCAGCATGCTCAAAAGTGCTAATTTAGGTAAG